CTCACCACGAATGCCTCCCTTGTTCTCTTATAATGGCAATGGCACCTACCTGAGAGGAGCTGGAACTGAGTTCTGGAAAGTTAGGGTTGCCATACGTCTAGATTCTCCCGGAGAAATATGGAGAATCTGCAGTTGGCAGCAGTGTCCGGGCAGAAATCAGGGAGATGTCTGGGAAAATCCAGACATACTGCAGCTCAACAACTTTTCTGTCTGGAATTTCCTTGTTTGAAATATGGCAACCCTAGGCAAATTCCAGCTCACCCCTCCTGCAGTATCCAACAAGTGAGCATATAGAATATGTTGATACTTCTTTCTATGTACTTTGCATTTAGTAATAACAGCCTGGTTTTAGCTTACATCAGCTGTAAACATATGCTCCCAGTATTTAGCACTTTTGAGCACTATCCATTCATACATGGTAAATTGTATCCTATGCTTGCTTGTTTTGAATATGTCTGTGTTACATGGGGTAGGATGTGAATCGCAGAAGAACAGAACACCTTGCCCTGATGTGTTTCAGTCACACATCTGACTTTCAGGCTGCTTATGTATAAAGGACTGCCAGCCTTTAACATATCTAGGGAGGCTGGAAGGGCTGAACATTCTTGGAATGACACAATTACAGGAGCTTGAGTGGTGGAAACTGGGACATATTAGGAGGACGAGGCATCACAGAGAAAAACAACAAAGGGGGGTGACACATAGACAATGTGTGGGGGAACTCAGACATATTAATTAAAATATTCATATACTTCCTTTCTTATTTATTTATTTATTTATAAGAAAAAATATTTATATACTGCTATGTAGTTAAAATATATCACAACAGTTTACAACAATATAAAAACATAAAGCCGAACAATATCATAAAAAGTGAAAAACAAGTTAAAAGCAAAAAGAAATGAAAAAAAAAACATATAAAATATAAATCAATACTATCAAAACAATAAACTACTAAAAACAAACAGAAAACAAATACCACCAATATCCATAAATATTTATGTATTTATTTAAGAAATATATATGCTGCCCTTTTATCAAAAGGCCACAGAGTTTTACCAACATAGTGGCATAATAAACAACATAATGTACATTCATTATAAACGCAGAATACAAAACAAATTGTACAAGCGCAATTAAAAATAAGCAATTCACAAAAAGTAGCAATGACGAATTATTCATAATATCAGCCCAGCAATAAACTCCACTATTCAGCCCTTGTGAAATACAAGAACCTAATAATGCAAGTTATTATCTACTCATCTCAGGTGCAACTCGAAAACATAATACATATTTAACATTAGCAGCAGTAGCAAGAATAATATTAAGAAATAAGTAGCAGCATACCTAAAGAGCAGAAACAGTATACAAAATACAGATAGTTCTCTCTGCACAAAACTCTCTTAATACCACCCACCAATGGCCAAACCAAATACAGAACAACAAGCTCTCTCCAGACTTTCCTGGGAGCTTTCTTTTTCTTCTCCCAGTATCTCACCCCAAGAGATCTCCAGTTTCCTGCCTCTCACTCAGGGTCATTCCACCATCTGCCTGCCATTTTCAGTGGGATAGTGACCCAAAGACACACCCCCCCCCTAGCTTTCCTGGCTTTATCTCTCTCAATCATGGAACATACGCTTGTGATGGGTAGAGCTTGGCCAACCCACCACTGCAGAGCAGCGACTAATTCACCTTGTCCTGTGCACCAAACTGCTGGTAAGTTGGTGTCAAAAGTTAAGCAAGTAGCCGCACATGTTACTGGTGGGGAATCAGATGTTCCAAGCTCAGAACAGCAGCACTGGAACTAAAAAAAAGTACTCAGGAATATCCTTGTGAATTGGTACGGTTTAACCAACCGGCAGCATACAGGACTGTAGATGTCTGCCGTATTTCTAGGTAAAGATTATTCCAGAGCATGGTGGCCACTTTGGGAAAGGTCCTCCCTTGAGTCACCACCAGTTGAATTTCTGCCAGGTTGTACATTAAAAAAAACACACACTACCTATTGTCTGTCCCTAGCTTGCCTGCTTCTAGCACATATAATTTCTTCATCACTTTTCAAAGCTACACTTTGTACTCTGGCTGCTGTGTGGCTCAGAGTGAACTTAGCTCTATTTTTGCCTTATTTTCAGTGCAACCAGATTTTGATATTGTGCTTTAATCCTATGAATCACGGCTGATACTTACTTATATAAGCCTTTATGAGGCTCCCTACCAAAGTGTCTTTAAATGTTTTATAAAACGTATGGCTTAATCATCTAACCCTGGAAACCTCTTGGAACAAGTTGTATTACATTAGCTAATGCATCGCAAAAGTCTTATTGGAGCTAGGCAAAACATTTTATATGGAAAGCAGAGCTGTCAACCTGTGGGTTCTGCTAACTTTGCAAAAGAGAAATAATAAAAACCACATTCTTTATTCCAGCGTGAAACTAGCTGAAGCTACAAATTTGATGCCTTGGCCTTTGGTGAAAAACCTTTATTGGAATTTATCGTTATAACTGTGCTAGCATCAGCCTAAAACAGTAAGACCACTTCTAACACTACTCTTATCTCTTACAGATGTGTAATCTGTAGTTCACCTTCCTAATTAAAATCTATAATTATATTTATGACATGTCTTGAACATGGGGACTCCAAAACAGATTGCCATTCCTGAACTCTCCCACCCAAATGCACCTGCTTGCAGATGGCTCTTCTTTAGTTCCAGTTTTCCAGTAAAAATCCACTGCTTCCCAAGAGAGATTGGCCCATTTTGTCCTGAATAAGTTAGAAATAGTTCCTTACATGAAGCACAGCTTAATTTTTTGTCCTACATGTTTCTCTTCCTCTGTTGCTGAGGAGTAGACCCTTGGGCTTGTCTACACTGGAGTTCTGCAGCTCTTTGCATTCCCATTTAATTTGCAAGACCTCGTAACATTACCTTCAAACAACACAAAACTTGATGTTTTCCCCTGTAAATTTGGGTTTACCTAATGTGCCCATAATCCCGTAAATTGGAGGAAAACAGGCTCCAAACCACTTAATTTGGGGTCACAAATGATTTGTTTTGGTGTTTTAGAATAGGTCGATCAATCGTTACTTTCTGCTACTTTCCTTTCCGTGTCCACTATTTCCTTCGGTGCTTTCATTTCTTCTATGGCTGTGCTCATAACTATTTCCAGTATACTCCTGAGCGGAGGAATATATATTCTTCTTTCGATCTTTCAGATTTCCACAAAAAGTCAGTTTATACAGTTCCTAAAATGTGAAATGTACTTACTGCTGTACATACCTCAGTTTAAAAAACACCGTATTTTTCTATAGCCGAAGAAACAAAACACAGGTTTGCATCCAATGCAGTGTAAGTAAGCATCTTGCCACCACAAGGATTCCAGCTTGTGCAATAGGACTTCCCCCTCTCTGTCTTCTGTGGTTTTCCCCAACCTCCCAGGGCAGATTTAAGGAGAGCACAGCCAAGTTCCAAAACCAGGTAGAAAACAAAACTCAAATGGACCAAGAACAGGTCTTACTCAATACTGGTCTAAAGTTTTTCAGACTTGCTCAGAGAAGTAAGATTTTCTTTAGGAAAGGTTTCACCATGGCCTCCTTTTTCATCTGAACATGCTGTCATATCACTTTTATGTCTGTCTTCAACCCAATAATTTTCAGGGTTCTTTGTGTGAGTGATAATAGCTAAGCATGCTTGAAAGCAACTTAATATTGAGTTAGACAGACGTCCCACCCAGAATGTGGAATACCAGGAACATACATTAGCAGAAGGGGAGGGTTGATGTGAATCTACTATCAATGAGCTGAAAACACCATATGAATTTCCTAACGCCTTAGGTCTGATTATCCCAAGAAGTGGATAGATGAAGTTGTGCTGCTCTTGAATATTGTCCCAGGTAATGATGTGATAAAGAACTGTGCCAACGTGGAACAATTCCTACAGAAACTTAGCTTATCAGTTCCCTGAATCCCATTGGAGAAGATGCTGTATACACAGTGATAGCAAAAACAATTGTTTTCACATTATTTAGCATTCATTTTGAGGTTTTATACAGAACGCCTGTGATGAGGAGTCTTGGGACTACCCTTTCCCTTTTGTTTATTTCTGTTGTTATTAGGCACAATGTGCTTTTCTTTCTTTTTTTGCCTCCACTTTCCTCCCTACCAAATGCTGCTCTCTTAAGTTTTATTAATAGTTAGTAATACCCAGACAAGGGATATACTCAAAACATTTCCCTGGGTGCAAAGAATTCTCACTCGTAAGTGCACACACATATTTTTCCTGTAGTGCATCTCTTGTGTTCTAGTCAACATCTGCTCCAGAAGCCACAGAAATACCTACATGCAAGAAGAAAAGGAGTGTGGGTTGCACTTGTGTAAATAAGTGGCACTGACTGTCGAGGCAAAAACTGTGTTTATGGACGCTCTGGATTCTGCAGTCAGTAGCACAGGTTTGTTACTGTTAGTGCCTCGTTGAAACTTAAGGCAAGTAAGCCGACTGCTTGGATGATCACTCTCAAGTAGTAAAGGGGTGTATGTTTACTTCTGAGCAAGAAGAGACACACAAACTGGTTCCTGTGCCTTTCTGAGGAGTGCATTTTCTCCACTCACTAAGTACAGAGGTAGCTGCGGTTGGTGTGGCAAACCCCTCCTGTTCTATCCGTGGCCCACTAGGTGTCACTGTTTTTCCACACCTGCATGTCAGTCATTAGGTCCCTCCAAAGAAAGAGCTCTGGGTGGGATTTTCCTAGAAGGGCACACATTTGTGGACCACAACTGCTTAATTTTCACTTAGACAAAGAACACTACATAGATGCACTTGCCTTTGGTTCCCTAACAAACGTCCAGTTCATAAGGAACATTTTCAATCTGAGGCTCCTCTCCATGTTCATATAATCAGCAATTGCTGCCAAAGAGATTGAATAGAGATTCATAGAATCCTAGAATTGTACAGTTGGAAGGGACCACAAGAGTCAGCTAGTCCAGCCCCTTGCAATGTAGGAATAGTTTGCCGAATATAGGGCTCGAACCCACGACATTAGGTGGAAAGACTCGCATGCTCTACCGACTGAGCTATCCCAGAAGGATTATAGATAGGGTCAGGCAGTATATATAGGGGGCATTTGGAGTGGCTAAGTGCACACAACTGGACTGAAGTGCCTGCCTTTGAAAATGTTCAGAATTCACTTTTTTCTGGAGGGCACCAGGTTGCCAAAGGTTGCTATAAGGGAAAGGACAAAGACCCTGTGGCACTCTAGATGTTGCTGGGATACAGCTCTCATCATCCCGCTCGTCTTGCTTTACCTATGCCCCAGTCCATCTTGCCTTAAATTAACTGGACTCACGTCTGACAGGTTCGCCATTCGCATGCATCCTTAGTTGACAACTGGGGATGGCGTCAGTGCTTTTGAAAAGGTAAACATCAGAAGAGCGTACTTCAGGGTCAGCAAACATTTTCAGCAGGGGCCTGTCCCTCAGACCTTGTTGGGGGCCAGACTATATTTTGGGGGCAAAAACAAAAACGAATTCCTATGCCCCACAAATAACCCAGAGGTGCATTTTCAATAAAAGGACACATTCTACTCATGTAAAAACACGCCCCAACTATTCTGGACAACAGCCATACAAGAAATATGTAAAATAACTAAGCAAGTATTAGAAATCACCCCAGAATTGGCCCTACGACACATCTTCCAAGACAATAATGTCCATTTACATCACAAAGAACTCATAACCCACCTACTTTCAGCAGCCAGAAACATCATAACCAGACACTGGAGAGACTTGTCAGGAGTAGGCATGGACCAATGATACCAAATAGTATAGGAAACAGCGCTACTAGAAAAATTAACCAATAAACTGAAACTGACACAGGGACAAATAGAAGAAGACGCCTTCGTCCCGGTATGGCTCCCCTTTTTCACATACGCAGCCCAGCAAGACAATGACAAAAATCCACCAACAGCATACGAATCAATATGGCTAACCTGATCCAAACACCCACCCACCCCACTCACACATGAAAACAAAGCTCACCATAGCCAATCACAAAAGAACAACCACACCCTAGGCTCTCACCGTCAAAGGAACACAAGTGAATAGCAGAGAACCTGCACAAGCGATGCTGATAAAAAAACCCCACACGTATATTAAGTAAAACAGAAACATCGCCACCCGACCCCACCCCCACTCACCTTTTCCCCCTCCACCTCTTTCCCCCTTTTCTTCCTAATATAACACTAATGTCTCAACAAATGAAACTGATCTGTAAAAATGTTACTTGGGGGAAAGAGAGAGAGACATTGCTCACACTTTTGTAAACCAATAAAATCTTTTAAAAAAAAAACAAGGAAAGAAAAGGAAAGGGCGGGTTGGATACTAACAGACATTCAATGATGGCTTCCACTAGTGGTTTTGCTACTGCCTTAGTTGCAGTAGTGCTACCAGTCACTGCTGCACTTGGAGGAAGTGGATCCAAACAAGCCTACTTCCCCTACTTCTTGTTCCCACTTCCCTGTGATCCTCCAACCCGGCCCCCCCATGCAGGTATTAGTAGTGGGGGCAGAAGCAGGATCTTCCACCTACTGCTCCAGATCCCGGCACACTGTTAAACTGCAGTGCTACACCGCAAACCAGCGTTAGGTAGATCTAGGAAATATTATTTTCCCTGAGAAAATTGCTGCAATTGCTAGTAGCCCATAGGGAAATTATAGTTCCCAAGTATACTTGGGAGTTTCAGAGAGGTGAGAGACTTGCTGCCACCAGAACCAGCAGCCAAGTAAAATGATGACAAGAGGGGGCTTTGAGGGCTGTGGAGGAAGAGGAGCAGGAAACATCTAAAGATGGCTGGATAGGGAGCAAGGAGTTAAATTCACCTCCAGCTGAGATAAGTATTACAGGGTCATAACATTCACCTTGTATTTCAAGGGAGCATTACCAAGCCCCCAAGGTTCGTATTTACAAACTAGAAAAAATGGATTTTGTCCAACATCATTAATAAAAATCTGTATTTTCCTCCCCTTCAAAACTGCCATGCAGATACCTGCTAACAAGTCTTGGCTGAGTCTGTATTAATGAAACACACGTTGTAGAGTACTTATTGGTTCTGACCATGTTGCTCCGTCATATAAATCAATAATTTACCCTATATATATATATTTAGCAGATGGATCATTTTCAAACAACTGCTCTGAGCATTCATCCTGATATGTTTGCATGGAGATTGGACGATGCTGGTTATTTATTGAGCATCCATTCTCCTTTGTTTGTGGGAAACTTAGGCAATGTTGCATCAAGCAAACATTATCCCACACTTTCCAGTGCTTTTCCCTGTCATTTTCCTTACTGCCAATGAAAACCCCACCCGTCTTAGGTTTGTTGCGCAAAAGATCCAAACCCATTTTATTTGCACAACGTGAATTTTGGATGAGGAAATTCCACCCCAATATAGGGACCATCCGGAAATGCTCATGGTCTTTTAGACAGAAGGTATCCCAGATGGGGATAGTAAAATGATTAAAACGGTACAGTTTAAGAAGATTTCTCAAACATGGAAACTATATTCTCCCTTGTACCTTGTGGCACCCCTGAAAGCAGCAAGAAAAACCCACACCTTTGCACCTTTCAGACCTTTCCTGCCAACACCCTGAATAATAAGAGGGCCTTCTGAACCAGCTCGCAGCTATGCCTGTTCAGAATTGCACATGGGCTCAGCTAGCATCCATCACAACACCGGGGAAAAAATCTTGGTGGGAAGTGCAGATCATTCATATCAAAATTAATGAGATTTTCTGTCTCTCAAATGTGATGACTGAACTGCGTGCTGACTATAAGAGAAAACCTTCTATGGTTATCAAGCTTTGCTTCCCTCCTCCCTCCCTTTCTCCCTTTCTCTTTTAAGAATGATTGTATAATTGATTAGTCTGTTTGGATATGTTTTTGAATGTGGTGTTCATTTTAATAGTGATTTCTGCTTATTAAACATTCTTGCCTCCCTCCCACTGCTACATCTGAAGATAAAAATCACAGGCGCACCAAACAAACAGAGCTAATTTCACTGTTAACTTTGTCTCTGACACCCTTCTCGTTTTCAAAGCAAATAAATGTGTTATTACAAGGCTGCGCTTTTTCTTCCAGACAGAAGGGTAAGAGAGCTTTTTTTTTTTTTTTTTTTTTTTTTTGAAGCTCCTTCAATCAGAAGCCCTGGCTCTTTACTAAAGCCATCCCCACAGGAGATCAGAACTGTGTTTGAAAACATATGTGATAGAGAGAGGGGGGAGGGAATCAAACCATAAAATGAACTGAGATCACCTTGTAATTGGGCAGAGATGACTTCCTGCTGCGGTTGGTATTTTTTGTTAAATGCCAGCACTCCTGCATTTCTCACCTTTTGCTGGAAGAGATTGTATACAAAGTCTCTTCAATAGCCAAGGAAATCACAGGCAAGCGGAAGACCTCCCTCTTAGAAAGCAACCACTTCCTGCATCATTTTGGTGTACCCATCCTTCTTGCTAGAGAGGAAACCCTTCAGTGCAAAGCAGATGAGGAAGAGGAAGTCACATAATGGAATTAGGTTTTCCACCTGGCCCTGCCATCTGTGCCTTCAACAGCAACCTGACATGACAAGCAGGGACCAGGTGAAGCCTTTCCGGTTGCTTTTCCTCCACAATGGGAAAAGCTTCGCCCTTCTCAGTTCTCATAGCTTATAAAGGCGCAAGTCTAGTTAAAGAGTTGGGGAAACCCTAAAAGTAATCTTTTCATTTCCAATATAGAAAAGCAAACACAAAATTTAATAACAGGTGCTCCAAGCAAATGAAAAGCAATAGAGAGAGAGAGGCTGCAGTCGACAGTAGATTATGGTTGTTATTACATAAAGCTGGAAGAGTCAAAACCAGATCAGGTTCTTTCTAACTCTCCTGATGCAGCAGGGCTATAATAGTAGCCTTCTCTCCAGCATCCACACCTTTGCTTATAAGCATGGCAGCCATATTATTATGCCATTGGTATACATCGGGGTGGAGAATCTGTATCCTTCCAGGTACCATTGCATTACAACTCCTATGAGCCCCAGCCGGCAAGACCAATGGCCAGAGAAGATGGAAGGTGTCGTTCAACAATATCCAGAGGATCATGGGCACATGGTTCTGGGTGGAGTTCTGGACAAAGCCCCAGCTCAGCCTCAGTGACAGTGGGTGACTGGCCTTGGCTACAGTTTTTCTGGTTTAGTTCACTGAAGCAGCAAGTGGCAATGAAATAGAACCGCCCTGCAAGGCTGTTGTGAGAGCAACAGGATAAGGAGATATGACTGTAGTGTTGGCAACTTTGAAAATAAAGACACTATAAACCTGCACAGAGGTTTATAAATTGTGATCAAGAAAGTGTGGCGCCATATAGGTTTTGTGAGACCCAAATAGTACAAACACCTGTTTTTATCACTCAGCCCCGAAAGATGTGCAGCCCCGAAATATGTTTGCATAGAAGAACAGTAAGCCTGCAGCTCTGAGAGTTACCTGAGAGTAAAATTAATTGCAGCCAATGAGGCTAATTTTTGAGTAAACGTGCATAGGATTGCACTGGTGATTATTGTGCCATTTCACCAAGAAACTTTACTTTCATTACTAAGTTGGTCCATTTTTTCCTAGCATCAATGCTTCTTTACAAATGACTCCTGTCATATGTAAATCTGTGAAGCATGAAATACGTTGCATTCTGCAACACCTCCAGCCCACCTTCTTATTTTTTCATAAGGCAGACTATTCAATCATGTCAGGCCCCTCCTTCAGTCTAGCACTGTACAGTCCAGAAACAGATTTAAGCATCTCATCAACTGTTTGTTTTGCAACTACCGGTAACTATGGCTAGATTGTGTACAGAATCATGGTGCCCGCCTCATTAATGCCTAAGACCGATGAGGGTTTTTCTACTGGAACGGCATTCCGGCACCTCTCAGGTGGCCCCGGAGGTGGGGAGAGAGACCTGACCAGCCTCAGCAAAGCCCCACTGGGCCTACGGCTTCCCTGGAGCCCAAAGGGAAGCCCCTGGAGCTCTGCAGGAAAGCCATGCCTCAGCTGAGCAAGCTCCCAGCTGCTCCAACTCATGCAAGCCAAAGAGGTGTGGGGGGGGTCTCCTTAAGGTGCTCAGCTGAGGTGCAGAAGGCTCCCCTGGCCTCAGCTGAGCAGCCTCAACAAGCCTCTGGCTTATGAGGAGACCCTCTCTCCCCAGCCGAAAGAGATCCTCCTAGGGCACTGACAGAAGTCCGTTCTGGCACCTTTTTGTCTAGAAAAGAAAGCACTAAGGCTGTAAAGTACCACTAAACTCAGTGGGCCTGACTTCTGAATAGGCATAGACATGCAGTAAGCATGTAGAAGTGCAAGTGCTTCATTTTGTTTTGTTTTGGTACAAGAAATAATGTGGTGTTGCTTCATAAATATGCTTACTGAATGTAAGTCCTACACCTATACATTTTAAGAGGGAGGGAGGGAGAGAGGACCAATAACAAAGACTGTGTGTTAATGAATATATCTTTTCATTTAAATAGCTTTGCTTATGATCTCTTTTTTAAAATCTGCCACTGTATTTTCAACGAATTGCTGGAAGAATCAATAGTTCATTTTTCTAAGAATGAGCAAGAAAGGAATGGGGAAGCAGATGGACATATTGTTTGCAATGAAAGAACCTGAAATGTCAACCGTTCATTGTCACAGTCATCCATTTCTGCAGATCCACCTATCAAAACCATGGTTTTGTTTGTTTGTTTTTTTAATATGGTTTTAAAGGTGTGGACTTGATAGGCATCACTAAAAGACAGCTTTCCATTTCCAGGAAAAAATATGGTGCATAGAAATTGTGGACTATCAGTGGGTAGGAAAGCTTTATTGCTCATTTGAGGCATCTGGAGAAAATTAGCTTAGCTTACTCTTTCTCTTATTCTTATATTTATATCCCACCTTTTTCCCTGACAGGGACTCAGCAGCTTACAGATAAAATAGAAACAGCTAAAAACACTGGAGGGGCAGTGGGAACAATCATTAAAAAACAATTAAACATCAACAGAATTAAAGCAATATATACATACACACCAACTCATATTGGTGTGATCCTTCAGGTGCCCAGGCCCCACATTATATGGGTCTGAAGGTAACAATCCATATTTCAGATTGTCCTAGAAACAGTTCCGTGCATATACTCGAAACCATCTTCATGGGTAGTCCCACATAAAGCGAATTACAATGCTCTTAACGCAGTGGTACTTCGGGTTAAGAATTTAATTCGTTCCGGAGGTCCATTCTTAACCTGAAACTGTTCTTAACCTGAAGCACTACTTTAGCTAATGGGGCCTCCCGCTGCTGCCGCTGCACGATTTCTGTTCTCATCCTGAAGCAAAGTTCTTAACCCGAGGTACTATTTCTGGGTTAGGAGTCTGTAACCTGAAGCGTCTGTAACCCGAGGTACCACTGTATTAGTATTTTGTTTCATTATATGGCCCTCACACTGGATGGGGCTATACAAGCTCATAGGTGTTTCTTTTGCTTGGCTAGTTAGGGATCATCCATGTGGGGGAAAAATCCATTTTTTTACAGGTATAAACCACATCCCCAGTAAAGCCACATGCTCCTTAATGGAGCTGTCTAGGAGAGAACAAATAGATGCATAGGTGATTGGGAATTTGGGGTATGTGTGAGAGAGCTGTCTTTTGCTCTGTGCTGTTAGTGGCCCTGTTTGCTCTCTGAACTTTGCACATTGTAGAAATTCTTCGGGGCGAGTTAGCAGCCATGGACATAAATGGCAAGGGAGGGAATGAACGAACACACACACACAATGCACTCTGATATGCTTCAATTACTACAGTGCAGTTCCTGGAAGCATTGACTCAGATGCTAAATGCTGGATCCAAATCTGCAGCCAAGGAGAGAAACAAAGCAATTCTGAATAGGCCCATGTTGTTTACAATGACTTCAGGACCGCATGTTGCCACCTACCTCAGCCTCAGCAGCGCAGCGTGCCGGCTGCTTTTCTATTGAGTAGCTGAAAGCCGTCGAGGGAAGGTGAGCAAGGACGCTGAGGGGGAGCACAGATCTTTAGGTTGCATGTTGGTGAACTTAATGAATAGTTAGCAGGCAAGGACTTGAAGGCCAAAACCTGTCAGGCTGTCAGGCACTGCCTGCCATTTCGATAAAGGGCGCTATGGAAGTGCGAGTGATTGAGAGATTGATTGATTTGTTTTGCCGAGTCTCCTTTGTGGCCTCCTGGGTAAATTTCTGGCCACACCTCTCTGCCTCAAAGCACTTGCTCTGCCTGCTGTTGCTATTCCTCCCCCCTCCTTTTCTATTTTTTTTTTATTTGTGCGTAATGAAAATTTGTTATAAGCCTTCCCTTTCATCTGTACATGGCAGGCTGTCACGCAGAAACAAGCCATTCTGGAACCTTGCTTCCTTCCAAATTGCTAAATATTTTTCTTCGAATGGCTTCCCTAATGGGCTAGTATAATAAGAGTGGCATGCTCTCTGCCCACGCCGAAGATGCCAGAGCATTTGTCCAGTGCACATGTGTGCCGGGCGCAATAAACTCAGTGCCTGGACTGGCCCACACTGCAGCGCTGCTGCCCATCAAAAACAACAACAACAAGAAACAACGGGATTGCACATTCTGCGTGCACGACATGTACACTTTCCTCTTTCTCAAGTGGGGGGGGATGTAGCTTAAAGAGAAGAACGGGGGCCATGCAATCTGCTCTTGGGAAGGCAGCGCACTTGTTTCCATTCCATAAGGTGAGACCTGATGGCAGTACCAGGAGGGTTGCGCTAAGCGCAAAACAAGCCATGCGAAGAGTGACAGAGCTGGGCTTGCTAATGGCCTGGCCTGCCCAGGCCAGATTTTTATTGACTCCAGTTGCTGCTTTTCGGAGGGGCAGGCACCAGTGCTCCCCACGGCCAGCCGATCCATGTGCTATATGCTAAACCGTTGCTGACCCACTGCTTTATGAGCCTAAGTGGTTATGCAGGAACAGAAGTGAATAGGTTGTGCGCGATAAGAAAATAATTTGCCAAAAACTGCAACAATAAAGAAGGCCTGATGGGATCTCTTATGGCATGAATAGCCTGGAGCAGCTGCAGATTTCTCTCTGCTTTCACAATTATTTTCATTTTTATAACAGCTAAAAGCGAAATATTGTCCAGGAGCTTCCACAAATGCAGCATTTCCATAGATTTTGTGCGTGCATTAAAAAGAAAGAAAGAAAGAAGCGGAGCAAAAAAAGTTTCTGGATAAAAAAATCCCTTGGTATGTCAGCCAAGGCCAGGTTCCTTTTGCAGGCATCCTGCTGGATTTATTCAGTGTCAGGACAGTACCCGAAATCTCCCACTGCACTGCTTGTATTTTTCTAGACTCCCTAGATATGTAGAGGTGCCTGATTTTTGTCAGTAAAGGCACGTTTCAAACCACCATTTCAGTACAGATGTAGGAACAAAACCTTCAAACCTGTATTTCTCTCACACACTCTTTTGCCATTGCACCCCTCAATTCTACATCACCTCTACCTCCTCCCCCCAACCCTGCTAGACTACCGCAGAGCTGCCTTCAGACGTTTACAGAAGGTCATATAATTTTTTATTTCTTTGACACGTGATGGGAGGTCGTTCCACAGGGCAGGCAACCACGAATGAGAAGGCCCTCTGCTGGGTTCCCTGTAACCTCCCTTCTCTCAAGTCCATAGCTGTCAACGTTTCCCTTTTTTAAAGGGAAATTCCCTTATTCCAAATAGGATTCCTCGCAAGAAAAGGGAAACGTTGACAGCTATGCTCAAGTCCTCTTCATCACCCTTGCACAATATTAAAACCACCAAATGGAAATGGATAGTGTGCCACCTCATCACAAAAAAGTATAAACTTCCATTCTGCCCATTATGAAACATGAGATCTAAGGCTGTTAACATTTGCTCATGTGTAATTTCTGGAATATATATATATTCCATGCAGAGGTACAAAATACCTATGTTGCATGTCCACAATGGGAGAAGGTGGCAGAGAGTAGTGAAGGGATGACTGAAGGAAGGTGAGTGGGGAAATGCCTCCAGATACATTTCAAGTTCCGCCTTCTGATGTGGATAGAAAGCAGTAGTACAGTATTGAATACCTATACTGATGACATGGTACATATAGAAATGCAGGTGACGCTGTGGTCTAAACCACTGAGCCTCTTGGGCTTGCCGATCAGAAGGTTGGCGGTTTGAATCCCCGTGATGAAGTGAGCTCCCATTGCTCTGTCCCAGCTCCTGCCAACCTAACAGTTCAAAAGCATGCCAGTGCAAGTAGATAAATAGGTATCACCGCGGCGGGAAGGTAAACAGCATTTCTGTGCGCTCTGGTTTCCGTCACAGTGTTCCGTTGCACCAGAAGTGGTTTAGTCATGCTGGCCACATGACCCGGAAAGCTGTCTGTGGACAAACACCGGCCCCCTTGGCCTGAAAGCGAGATGAGCGCCTTTGACTGGACTTAACCATCCAGGGGTCCTTTGCCTTTTTTAAAAAACCTACATATAGAAACTAACATGCCACACATAGAAAAATGTCAAGTTTTAACACTGCATTTGTGATGCAAGGCCCCTGTCTGGAAGCACCTTAAGGTAATGCCCACACTGAATTATTTTGCTGCACTGGTTATGAAGGAAAGGTATGGTCTGTTCAGAACTCCTGCTCTGAATTTCTTTGCTCTTCCAATTGTTATGGTCCATTTATTAAAGAAAAGGTCCAGATGGTGTTTTAAATGGGACTTTCTGTTGCACAAACACAAAATGGAGGTCACCCATGGTTTGTGGGGTGCAGCAAATAAAGATGAGCGCCTCCACCCCTCATGCTACCATTTTGTGTCTGCTTCTGTCGTCCAAGTTGCCATGTTATGACTAGAGCCTACTGATGAGCCCTGAATCTTGGTAAAAAAACCAGAAGAACCTGCAAGTCTGAAGCATGCCCATTTCTGGTCTAGAGTAGCTCACTGTGGACACCAGGACATTGTTCCCAAAGCTGTGCCCTTATTGGACTCCACCCCGCCCCTCAGTCCCAGCCAATGTTCAGCAATGGTGCAACAGGCATTCCAAGAACATCTGGAGAGCACCAGACTGGGGAAGGGGAGGGCACCAGGAGAATTCTGCTTCACTTCCTGGATTATCCTAACAGATGCTTTTTCACTACCCCTACCCAAGCCAGACAGAGAGGACATATCAGTATCAAGTCAGGTACAGACAGGAAAAGTCACAGGATGTTACAGCAGGGTTTAGAGGCTTTCTATTGATACAATAGGGTTTCTATTGATACAAATAGGGACGCGGGTGGCGCTCTGGGTTAAACCACAGAGCCTAGGACTTGCCGATCAGAAGGTCGGCGGTTCGAATCCCCGCTCGGTCCCTGCTCCTGCCAACCTAGCAGTTCGAAAGCACACCAGTGCAAGTAGATAAATAGGTACCGCTCTGGCGGGAAGGTAAACGCTGTTTCCATGTGCTTCTCTGGTTCGCCAGAAGCGGCTTAGTCATGCTGGCCACATGACCCGGAAGCTGTACGTCGGCTCCCTCAGCCAATAAAGCAGGTTGAGCGCCGCAACCCCAGAGTTGGCCACAACTGAACCTAATGGTCAGGGGTCCCTTTACCTTTACCTTATTGATACAAATACAGAAAACTATTCAATCTTGCTGGAGTAATAGATGTGGACATGGGATGTGGCCCTTCAGAAAGACCTGTGATGGATTTTGGGTGGGTTTTGTTCTTGGTTGTCCAAGCCCTGATTTATTTCACTGGAATAATACCGATCCTAGATAACTATTCAGACCTTCCAAGTGTCCCTATTTTCCAGGGGCAGTCCTGGATTTACAGAAGCTGTCTGTATTTGATCCCAGAATGTCCCACTTTTCGCTAGGATGTCTCTATTTTCATCGGAGAAATGTTGGGACGTCCCTATTTTCATTGGAGAAATGTTGGAGGGGATGAACTATCCTTAAAACAAAAAGTGTAAAATATTCTGAATCCATGGTGCATTATAGCCAATATATCCAAATTACCAGATCTGGACTGCCTAGATGAAGTTGTGGGTGACTGGTGGGGAGTTGACACTCTTAAAGTGTAGAATATAAAAGTACGCTGACAGACCCAGTTGTGTCTGACTACACACATTAAATTTCCAGAGACAGACACAAGAGTGACTTGCAGGATTGCTCCCATGTTGTTAGATTGCATTATATGAAGTGACCCTCTGCATAGTAAGATCTGCTAGATTGGATAGTTTGCAACCAAGGTAGCATTGCTTCTGAAACACATTATAAACTTGGGTAACTAAAATACACAGGTTAAAACTTGAGCTTTGAACTGACCCATATTTCCTCAACAGCCTTTGGATCTTTTTAATGACACAACTTAGCAAGGCAGATTTGAGCTTCATCTCTGCAGAACCCAAATCCACTTGTTTAAGTGGAATATTTTTCTGTTTATGCTGCAGGCTAAACAAGGAGGTTTACCTAGGGTCTCTTGTTAAAATGAGCCATCTGTGGCAGCTGTGGTAATTATACCAAGCCCACTGTACCTTTCAAGCACAGCTCTTAAGTTTGTGTTGAAACTTTGAAAAACAAGTGGAACAACTGCTCAGAGGGCAGGGTGATAGCAAGGTGCTGCATATTTTTTTTAATGTCCATTCTGCGCTGAGAGCATCATGAGTCATTCTGAAATTAAGCTACAGTAATTGTATATGTTCAGAGAGCAAACATCATAAAAACATTAGGATGGAACTTCCTCAGCACAAATCCATGGGTTGGCAGTACATTAAATATGTGCCAGTAGGCAACTTACCTGTGTACACACAGCTGTTTGGGTCCCTGGGGCACAAAATTCAAATAATTTAATGGAGGCACAGTTTACAAAATGAATTTCCAAAATTCCTACTGTAAAGTCTTTTTTACTAAAGTTGTAATGCAGGGGTGGTAAACCTGTGGCCCTCCGGTCATTGTTGGATTCCAGCTCCCATCAGCCCCAGCCAGCATGGTCAGTTGTCATGGATACTGGGAGTTGTAGTTCGGCATCACATGGAGGCCCACAGTTTCTTCATCCTTGCTATAATGAGCTACATCGGCGTAATTTAGGTTTGCCTTTTATTTATAGCCCTGGTCATAGAAAGCAGTTTAAGATGGATGAGCAACTTACCACATGGTGAGATTTTCTATCATGGCTTTGTTTGGGTGTTTATGTTA